GCAACTTGGCGCGAAATTAGGAAGACACACCTGAAGAATGTTTTCGAACAAAATTTGCACCGATACGATTTGACACTTCCGCGTTGTAAACGATGCCTTTGCGTATTCGATCTTTCAGTAAACTGCACGAGGCATGCATCGCATTGATACATTTGTTCCTGACGGTTTTCATGCGCAGCCTGAAATCACTGTCGATATTAAAATACACTCAACAAAACAACCCTCATAAGTACAATCAACTCTGAACATAATGAATTTAAGATATCGAAGAAGCCATTTGCAAACTCCGTGTGTACAATACAGTTTTGAATCTGACCTTCACTAATTCACTTTAACCTTCTGGAAAGTTATTTCATATGAAAAAAAAAACTTCAGAGGTAAGATGCGAAACGCCAAGAAAAGTAAAATTTTTGCAAGGAAAAAACCAAAAAGATTTCTTATGCAAGATTCTCGAACTAAACTGCACTCCCCTTCTAGCTTACCACATAGAAAACTTGCGAACTTATCGACAAAAAAATGTGGGTGTTTTTAATCGAAATCTGTTAACACCATTAAAACAGGTGCTTCATCACCGCTTTTTCCACAAACTCGATCAATGCTTCAGGGTGATATTTGACACATTCAAGAATTATTTTCAAAAAATACCTCAGAAGTTAAAGAAGAAAAACGCACCAAATGATTTCTCGTTCGCTGCGATAAAGGGGTTTTGTAAGCCCAGAAAGGGCAATCGTGCATCGTTCTGGAAGTCTTCTTTGAAGATCCGCTACTGCCGGAAATTGGACGAAGGATGGAAAGTTTGGTGTCTGCAACGACTTCTCCAAACGCCCGTACCATCTCTGAAATGACATTATTCCTGCCGGTCCTGTAACAGGTACAACCATATCATACCTATAACCTGAGATAAGGAGAAATCAAAAGATTGATTTTTACTCAGGAACAGCGAATTCCTGCTCAGTGTTCAGTATTTCCTGCGATTCTCCAAACTGGTTCTTTAGCCAGTGTTTTGGTTTAAAAAACCCTTTTCATTATTATTTTAGTTTCGCGACAAAGTTCGAAACGACCCATTTTCGCTAGAACAAACAAATGCATATTGATAGAGAGAAAAACATGCTAACCAAACGGCTTCGTATAACAGTACCATCACAGGACTGCGTCCTTAATTGTAAACCACAAAATTCAGTGCATTGCATTAGCTGCGCAACATGTGTTATATAAGAGACCACTTTAAGCTCGATTTCGGGAACACAGATATATAGCTGCAAAAAAGAACATCTCTTTTATTATGCATTTTTTGCAGCTATGCAGTGCAGAAAACGCATATTGGCGAGAGGTTGTCTGTGTGTGTGTGTGTGTTTGTGTGTGCGTTGCGCGTCTGGATTTTTCAACTCGAGACCCACAAAAGCTACGGGGCTGAAAATTGGGGAACTTAATCTACATGTGCATACGGGCCCCGGTCTCCGACATGGGCAGTCTTACCCGCGTGGTACTCACGTAAGAGCCTGCCAAGCTGCTAATTCGGGAACCAGAATTGTTTTGGGACTGAAATTTTAAGGGAATGCCCCCCGTTCAAGTAGGGATTAATGAGCTCAAAACCAGCCCCCAGTTAAGCGTGGTACCCGCGTACGGGCCTGCCAAAATCTTTTTTTCGGGTAAGTTGATAACTCGGGGATCTGAGAAGCTGGAAAGCTGAAATTTTAGAGGATGTTCCCCAAGTGGGTATTATTGAGCTCAAACCCAGTCCCCGGGTAAGCGTGGTGCCCGCGTACATGCCCACCGAAATTTTCTTCAAGTAAGTTCATAACTCGGGGGTCTAAGCTAGAAAGCTGAAAGCTTAAGGGGATGTTTCCCGTCCAAGCAGATATTAATGAGCTCAAACCCAGACTCCGGGTGAGCGTGGTACCCACATACGCGCCCGCCAAAATTTTTTTAGGGTAAGTTGATAACTTGCGTACCTGAAAAGCTAAAGGACTGTAATTTTAAGAGGATATTCCCCGTCCACTTAAGTTTCATTCAGCTCAAACCCAACTCGCGGGTATGCGTGGTAAACACGCATGGGTCCGTGAAAGTTTTTTTCCAGTAAGTTGCTAACTCAGGAGCCAGGGAAGCTAGAAAGCTGAAATTTTAAGGGGGTGTTTTCTGACAGTTCTGGCGGCCAGTTTTAATTTGTTTAGCTAGAAGCATTTGTCGAAAAAGCCGGTGCCCGTAGCGACAAGGACTGCGTGGAACTATGCAAAAAACGCATCTTCGCACGGGCAGCCCGTGCGTTAGCCAATTATTTATATTTCAATACTAATGAATATCGCGTTAGGGACATGCGTATAAACACATAACAAACTGTTTCTGAACTTGAGTAATTTCGAGATGCGGAGTATTTTTGGTTTAAGTGTGTATGTTCATGCGTACATAAACTCTTAATGTCTTAATATTACAATACTCGGCTTCAGAAAAATGTCGCCAGCCTCCCATTTACCCCTACTTCCAGGCATGATCTCAACTCCTTCCCAGTCATTCCTCTCCTCTCCACTACAATTCCCAAGACCGAAACAAGGCCGGGTTTTTTGCAATCCCGACTCCCAACCAGCTGGACCGAGTGGCTACTCAGGGCATCTAACTGTTAGAAGGCAGCAGTCTCTAATTCATCATGCTCCATAGGAGTTTTGCCGATTCATTTTCGCGTACGGTTGGGATCTGATTGGAATATTGGATTGGGGTTAAACCGTCTCTAATTCACGAGGTATGTCCACGGGTCAATAACAAGCGAACCTCCCCAACGGCTCCCTATTCA